CTCTATCAAATTAAGTCATTTTGTTTACAGAATTAGTCAATTACAAAATCATCTAAAACCTAACAAAATTCATCCATTTAAATATTATACATTCACACCATTTTCATATATCTGAATTTTGGTTTCGTCTTCACGAAGGTTTCTTGATGAAATGATAAGAAATAAATAATAATATAGAAAAAAAAAAAATTGTTAACCACCACTCAAGGATGAAATACGTGCCCCTATGAACTGACTCAAATTGCTCTCCATTTTTCCATTTTTTGACTTGTTAAAATTATGGTTTAACTGTAAGAAGAAATATTTAATTTTTAATTCAAAACTCCGGAACAATTTATCCTTCGATTTACAGGCAAACTTGAACAGAGATTCAATAAGGTGTTAAAGGGGAAAATTTAAGGAACCCAACAAATTTTTTTTTCAAAAGAATTTATTAAAAATAAATAGTAGTGAATGAATTTAGATTGACATATTTTACTTCATTTTATATACGTCTATTTAAGTAAATTTACATAAGATTAAAAATATAATAATTTTTTTAAAGTGAATATATTCATAAATTTCGTGAATGTAAATAGTGGTTCCCTTCTAATGAGAAAATGATAAATAACTTAAATATTTTTTAATATTTGTTAATTTAAACCCAAAATACTATAAAAAATACTTAGCCGGCAATGTCTTTGTCGGCCACATTTGTCCTGACCCAACAGAAATAGTCAATGAAAATTGTTTTTACCCTCCACTTTTTTCGATGCACCAAAAATTAGTCACTAAAAATAATATTTACTAACAAAAATAATTGTTAGTCGGCTTAACGAACCATATTTGCCGATTAGATGAAAGGGATCGGTGAATATCATATTTGACAACACATGGTTGCCAACAAATGTTGTACACTTAGATTTATTCAAATAAGAAAGATACCATTTCTCCACCCAATTTAGTATTGGAAAATCGTTTGAATAAAATTACTACTTACCAAATTGTTTAAGGTGGGACCACACAAATATGTGTTTTTCTTCACGAGTAAATAATTGCAGTACACATTGTCTTAAAATCGTTTTCAAGAAAGTATCTAAACAAACAGCCCATCATGTTCAAGTTCCTATTTGTTGATTGAATGTCAATGGAGTGCCAGGCAAGATTGCAATATTATTGTCAAGTTGTTTATAACTTCGATAATTTTCAGATGTTAGTTATAAATGAATTCTTTCTTTGACCTTCTAAGCACCAAATTTGTTTGCCATGTTTAGTGTCAGGTTGTATGTGGTTGGTGTGACAACGAATATGCCCAAAATTTCATTATTACTCAATTTTATTTCATGACCAAGAACTCGATCTTTTTTTTTTTTTGTCAATTTTTGTTCCTTTCTTTCAA